CCCCAAAACCCCAAAACCCCAAAACCCCGCAGATCAATTATAATTTGAATTCACTTGCATGTTAAATTGTAGAAATTTTAATTTAATAAATTGAGAGAAAATGAATTATCATAATGGAGTAGGTAGCGGGGGTCTAAGTCATACAAGACCAGCAGCATCAAATACACTTGATAGGGATTGATTCTAGCAAGATCAATTTCAAGCATAGTATAATCCTTAGGCTTAGCTATACAACCAGTAATGTACTAAATTTAACATAAAATCAATGCTCTGCCATTGATAATTATTCATTTTCTAATTGAGTAAACTCATATTTTTCTAGATAGATGGCTGGAGTTTAAATGCAAGGAATGAATGGTATGACACCCTTCTAATAACCAATGATGTATGGAGGAGGAATGATGAATCCTGGATTTGTTCAGATGATGCCTAGCATGTATTACCCAATGATGATGCCTGGAATGAATTAAATGGGAATGATGCCAATGAATAATTCTGACCCTAATCTCCCTCCCTATACTAATAATTAAATCTCAACTTATGGAGCAGGAAATATGCCTAAAAGTTACAGCTAGTAGCAATTCAATACAATAGATAATAGGAAAGATGACCATTATATTAGCCTGAAAAATAAAAAGCAAGTGGGATTCACAGATAAAAAGAATGTTCATAATAGACACAACACTCTTTAGCCCTATGGAAGAGACTATGACGATGAATTAGAAAACTAAATGTACAATAAACCTTAGAGAAAATTCTGGACTTTTGAAGATTTTAAAGAGCATACACTACCGAAACTTTAACTCAGGAAAATAGTCAAGATTTAAGCATTACTAAGAGGTGCATTTGTAAGGAAAAGACGCTGGCCTAAATTAGTTTTATGGCACTAAGGTTCCGTGCGTTACACAGATTCACTTATAGATCATTATATCGAAGATATATTCATACCTGATCTAGTTCTCGAAATACTTACAAAGAACAGAGTATATGAAAATGTAGATCTGTATTCAGATGAAAACAAGATCCTCTATTAGATTAGAGCTGATATGATCGAGAAAGTTGTCAGGTAAATGACAAAGGAAACTGTCAAAGTAGCATAGGATCAGATAGTTAATGAGTATTTGAATAAGCGTTTCCGGACTAAGACTATTGATGAATAGGATCCAATGCGCAGGGTTGTGACTGAGATGATGGATAAAGTTATGAAATCAATTACTAGAGATATAGCAAAGGAAAGACTAGGGAATGTAGTTTTCGACTATCTAATTGAAGCACAATTTATTGGGTTTTTCAATAATTACTATATAAGAAGAGAGGTAGAGCATACAGTAAAAGATGCTATCGAAGATTTAGCAGTTGGCGAAGTTATTGAAGATTTGTGTGATAGAATTATACTTGAAGCAGTTCCTATAATAGCATAGGGTGAACTGAATGCTGAAATTAAGAGGTAATTTTGCCAAATTTATTTTTATATATTAATAACACTTCTTTATAGACAGGACAAAATGGAAATTAATTATGCTTTTGGAGAGTATCTTGATAGATGTGTTCTTGAAATTATTATTCAAAACTTGTCTAAGCTATATGAAGATGAAGATAGAGAAATAAACATCAGAGAGTAAACTGACAAACGAAGAAGGGTATTAATTGAATTCGAATGAGATTTATTATTATAGGATGAAATAAGGTCAAAGTCTTAGGCAGCAAAGATAGAAGACGATGAATTTGAGAGAATGACATAGATGAATAGATCCTTAAGGTCTAGATAATAGTCTGCTGCATCAAGAAGGTCTTATAATTCTTAGCTAGGTGCTTATAATATGGGTAATCCAAATGTGAGAGACAGGTATAAAGCAGACTATCCAGGAGGAGACCCAGACTTTAATCAATCATAAGTTCAATAATAGTAGTAATAGTAGTAGGAATAAGTATAACCAGAGCCGTAGCCTGTAGTTGTAGAAGAAAAGAAAGAAGAACCAAAGAAAAGTGGTGGATTTTTCGGTCTATTTAAAAAGAAGAAATGATATTTCTGATACTTTGTTTTGATCAAGGATAAATGTTAATAATGTCTTATTTTAATTTTTTTTAATAGTCGTAGTTTATATTCAATTAAAAATTCCAAAATTAAGATTAATTGTTAGGAATCTAAAGTATATCAGAAATTATTTTTATCCTCATCTTTTTTCTTCTTCCTTTCCTCACTTGAATCCCTATAGATTTCTAGCAGATCTTTTCCAGCACTGGGTGGAAGTGTTCTCTCAATTAATCTCTTAGCTGTAGGGGAGAAGGGTGCTGCTTTTACTTGCACGATTGTTGAAACAATCCTATCCCTCTCTATCGTCTTCCTTATTCTTAAGTTACTGAATAATTTTATTATAAAATCATATTTAACTTACTTCTACGATGAGAGAAGTTATCTTTACTGATCTCTTTGCATCTTAATCTTATCCTAATACAGTTATTCTTTGGCAAGAATGGTGAGTTTCTTCCATTCAAGTTTTCTCTTCTCTCTATCCTGATTCTCCTCTACCATCTCACGCTTTAATTGATTTTTTTCTTTCTAAACTCTAGAAAATCCTCTTGAACTCTGTAAATTATTATTAAGTTAAATTTACATTGGCTGAGTGTAGATTCCTATCCTGCTTCATAAAGGATTCTGTACTTTTGAAATCTAAGGCTCCTCTTAAAGCTAATGTATTCATCGTCGAGTACTTATCTTTTTCTAGCTACATTTATTTAGCTGCCAAGGATCTCATCCTGGTTAATTGCTCTTTTTTATGGGACTCAAATCTATCTCTTTTGATTGAATGTTGATCATGCAGCTTTTTCATTTTTTCTTAAAATCTTTTTTCTTATTCTTCCTATATAAAAAAAACATTTTAAAACATATGCTACTAACCCTTCTCTTATGAATAGCTTCTGTTTTTGAGAGATACTTAACTTCATTCTAAAGATCAATATCATTTTCCTTTGATTTCACCCAATCATGTTTTTACTAAACTACATATCTATTATAATTTTTGTCTAAATTACAAGTGCTTGTTTTGTCTTTTAGATTACTCACTATATCATCTAGGACTAATTCATGATTTATAGCACTTCTCAATTCTATAGATGTTTATTCAGTCATTAATTTACATTTCTCTATATAGAAGCGCTTTTCTTATTCAATCTTCTTGTCAATTTCTTTATCCATGCTAATTCGCTTTTATTTACTTTACTCAATCCTTTGCTATATCTAGATCTAATTTGCTGACTGTCTGAATTAAGATATCATTGTATTCTGCTATTAAGATCTATCAAAACTTCTATTGAATTTTGATTAGTTCAATCTCTCCAAGCTCCTTTAGTTGTCTAGTTCTCTTTGCTTAAACTGAAGGGTTTTTTGCATTCTTTTATCTTCCTTAATTTTTGCTATTTCCTTAAGCATTTTCATTTTTTCCTGCTGTTTCTCCTCAACTTTCTAAAATCTTTTTTCGAAATTTTTTAGCATCTTAGTTTTCTGTTTTTCTCTAGTAAGGAATTGCTTAAGTTCATTTTACTCTTTTTAGATTTGCATTTACCCCTAGGATTTTATTAATTATAACTAGTATTAGTTTGGATCTATCAAGGTGTTGTTCTAAGGGGTAGAGTTTGCTGGGTTTTGTTGGATTAAACTTTTACCAGCAATCATTGACTTTTATGTCTTTATCACTGCTTGAGATTGAGCATTTGGTGGAGCTTAAAGACTATTTAATTTGTTTCCTTGATTCTTGGTGGATTATTATAACATCAAACTGCTCGCCCCAGCTGTCATTGGCCTCTAAGGAGTTCCAAATACTTATTCTATGGTCATCATATTATTTACATTTTTTTTCATAATCTCTTTTCTTTCATGATGAATTCTCCTTACTGCATCATTAACTCTTGATACATATTATTTGAATTTGAATTCATTAGCTTCTTCTGAAATATGCTTATCGCTCACTTGTTATCTTGTTCTTTTAAGGGTAAATTTAGGGATAATTTTATCCTTACTTTTATTAGATATCCTCCATCGTTAACCCAAGATTTAAGAAAGCCTATTACGTGCGAGGAGAGTTGAAATCCATATTTACTTTCTAAAGAATATAACTTAAGGAATTTTCAATCTTACTATATATCTACCCAAGTTTTATTAGCTTCCTTAACCACCTCTTGAGGAGGGAACATTATATGCTTGCTGCTAATTTTGCTTGTTATTTTCCATTTCTATGAATTTATTGCCTTAGAAATTATTTTAATTGAATTTCAATTATTTTGGAATTGAATTCGAACGGGGTTTTGGGGTTTTGGGGTTTTGGGG